ACTTTATTTGTCGCAGTGTGAAAGAGGAAATAGTTAGTTGGGAGAAGCCTTTTATAGATTCCTGATTTTTTTTTTTGTCTCTGGTGTTTTTATCTCTATGTTAATGTGCTGCTGTGGAGTTCTAGTAAAGAGAGACTAAAGCAAATATTCGCCTCCTTTCATTAATAAAATTAAGATTATAGTTACACTAAAGCTAGTATAATCTACAATTATTTCTGATGACTAAAGGTAGGCGGACAATGTAATAGATCAACAGGAAATGCTAGCAGAATGCTTGGTTTTATAGGTAGCTTCATTCGCAGTAGAAAGAGGGAAGTGCTCATGCCATTGTACAGAACACTGGTGAGACCTCACTTGGAGTATTGCACACAGAGAAAAAAAAACAGCGACCATCTCTACTAAAGCCCAGCCACCCCCCTGTCTACTAAATCCCAGCCCCCCCCCTCGTCTACGAAATCTTAGTTCCCCCTTGTCTACTAAATTCTAGTCCCCCTGTCTACTAAACCCCTGCCACTGTTCTCACTCGAACTCACTGAGACAGACATACACACACACTGACATACACACAGAATCACGCCAACACACACATGCACTCACAGACACACACATTCACTGACAGACATGCACTAACTGACAAACAGGCTCCCTCACACACACTCACTCAGACATACAGGCTCCCTCACAGCCATACACACACACACACACACACACACACACACACAGACAGTCATATACACACACACAGACAGCCAATACACACACAAACAGACAGCCATGCACACAGACATCCATATACACACACAGACATCCATACACCCATACAACACAAACACACATTTCCCCCCAACACTTTTTTTAAAATTATTTAATTTAAATCCACCCTGCCTCCCTACTTTTGGGAGAGCTGTGTGGATTTCTTACGTGGTGTCTAGTGGGGCTGCTATGCAGGTGTACATTCAGGCAGGCAGGGGGGCAGACAGGCAGCAAGGGAGCATTAACTTTGAGCTCTCCCTGCTCAGCTCCCTCGCACGCCGCAGAGTGATGCCGGGAGCTGGAGTGACATCATATTCCGGCTCCTGGCATCACTGTGGGCACTGTGCAGGGAGAGCTTACACTCTGTGCTCCCTCGCGGCCTGCGGCCTTCAAACATATTTGACATTTATGGATTACAGGATAAAACTTACAAGGAAAGGTTAAAGGAACTTAATATGTATAGCTTGGAGGAAAGACAAGACAGGGGGATATGATAACAGGGCCGGCCCCCCATGCTGCAGCCGCCCGAACGCTCTGTAGAGAGCCTCAGGCGGCTGCAGCATTGCCCGGGCGGTGCGTCCATGAGGGCGGACCGTACCGCCCGGGCGCAGCATGGGAAGAGGGGCTGACAGGAGGGAAGCGCTGAGCGCTCCCTCCTGTCACTCCCTCCCTGTAGCTTGGCCGAGCCCTCTATGGTATGGTCCGCGGGTACCGGGAGCAACTGTCTCCTGTACCCGGCCGGACTAACAGGAAGTGCACACTGTTAGGAAACAGGAAACAAAAGCTCCCTGTACCCGCGGACCATACCATAGAGGGCTCGGCCAAGCTACAGGGAGGGAGTGAGGGGGAGAAATTGACATGGGGGGAATGGACAGGAGGGAGAAATGACAGAATGGACAGGAGGGAATGGACAGGGAGGAAATGGACAGGAGATGGACAGGTGGGGAATGGACGGGGAGGGTGACAGGGAGAGAGGGAATTGTGGGGGGTGACAGGAGGGTAGAATTGACAGAGAGGGAGTGAATTGACAGGGAGGGAATTGACAGGGAGGGGGTAATTGACAGAGGGGTGAATTGGCAGGGAGGGGAAATTGACAGGGAGGGAATTGACAGGGGGAAATTGACAGGAGGGAAATTGACAGGGGAAGAAGAGTGTGGGGAGAAATTGACAGGGAGGGAATTGGGGGAATGAGAGTGGGGAGGGAGAAAGTGACAAGGGGAGAAAGTGACAAGGGGGGGGGAAGAGAGGGACAAGCAGGGGAGAAGAGAGTGACAAGGGAGGGGGGAGAAGAGAGGGACAAGGGGGGGAGAAGAGAGGGACAAGAGAGGGAGAGGGGGGAGAAGAGATTGACATCCATCACACTCACACACAATGCACCCCTTACACACAAAGACAATGCACCCCTTACACACAGAAAAACACACAATGCATTACACACACAGACACACACACACAAGCAATGCAACCCTTACACACAATGCATCCCTTACACACACAGAAACACACAATGCATTCCTTACACACACTCAATGCACCCCTTACAGATGCACACACTCAAGGCATCCCGTACATACACAGAAACACACCTTGCAGCCCTTACACATACAAACACAGATTCACACAATGCATTCCTTACACACATATCCGGACATCCCCCTACTCCAGGGGAGGGCTGGCAGCCTTAGTCCTGGGGGGCAATCCCAGTCAAGTGGCCCATTGGACCACCGAATCAGCTCACCATCCACGCCCACCTTTTCCTTGTTTTATAACGGATATTGATGTTATGAAGCAAAACAAATATGATACAATGTGGTTTAACATAATTTATTTGTAATGGCAAAAAATTATGTTTAACAAAAATAAAATCTACAGTTTTAACAAATGAACAATGTATGGGCACAATACACTTTTTCAAAAAATACAGAAGCCAGAGAAAGAAATATCTGTATAAAACTTTTAAACTAAATATTTGATCAAACGGTTAGCAAAGACCTCATCAAGGTAGAACTTTGACGAATAATTTCCAATACATCTGGAAACTGAACCTGTTCCAGAAGATCTCTCTACACTGACATGAGCATTAGAGCATCAAGCAGTTCTTGTCCCATTGTGGCTCGCAGTCGGGTCTTGATGAGTTTAAGCTTGCTGAATGCTCTCTCACATGACACTTGTGTAAAAGAAAGGGTCAACAGGTACTCATAGGTGATAGAAAGATTTTCATAAGCTGCAGAATAAAGGTTGTATTTTATCAACAACCTGTGGCAGCAAAGAAAGCACTGCTTGCAAGAACCGCACTTTGATTCCTTTTGTACCTCAACTAGTTTGTCAGTAGGTGGAATCCAGTCAATCTCCTCCTCCTCCTCATCAATAATTATTTCCACTTTCTGTGTCTCATCTTCAGAAAGACATCCTGTAAGACTTGGAAATAAGTTGGCAAAACTTATTAATTCAGTTTTGAGAGAACATTCATTTACTTTGGCTAACTTAGAAATTCTCTCTAGTGCCCCTCCATCTAGCACTTTGGGATCTGTCCTAATTTTCTGAAAAGTGCGAGGATCCAAGTAGTGGGAATCCATGACCAATTGCTTATTTTCTGAAAATCTCTCCGTCATGCTTTGTATGATTTGGTCCAGAATTGGTCTGAACACACTAGCTCGAAAACATTGCATTTCATCTTCAGGCCGTTCATCATGTGAAGATTCTCCAGCCAAGCGTTTCTTTCGTGCCACTCTTCGAACTGGAAGCATAGTCTCGACTTCCAAGGAGTTGAGAACATCACTTTCATCCATTAACTCGTTTGTTTTTATTGCAAAGTGTTCAGCCTTTTGTTTTAGATTGTTGAAATCAATTTTCTTCAATTGCTCCACTGCACGTTCGACCATTTGCCATGCTACCTTGAAGTCAAGGCCACTGGTTTGTAGATACTTTGACACTGGCCCTATAACATCAAAAACCTGTAAAAATATGTTTGCTGTTAGGATAATCCTAAACTGACAAAGATTGTGAAAAAGGGATGAGGCCTCAGAAGTGGTTTTTGATTCAAACAAGTTACTCTGGGAAATTACATATAAAACTTCATATAAAACTTCAAAGGTGTCAAAATAAAGAGACTGTTTTTCACCAAAAATCCAGTTAAGGGCTTTTTCTTTTGCCCACCATCTTGTCTCTCCAATTTTTTGTAACTTTAAAAGTTTTTCCTGTCCATGTCTTCTATCCAGTTGGTCTTTCCAGATATTCATTCTTTTGTGTGAGTCTCCAATAAAGGTTGCCAAGCGATTTAGGAGACCAAAAAAATTTTTGGCTTCCAATACTTGACAGCAATCTGAGACACACAGGTTAAGGATATGACTATAGCACCAAATATAAACCGCATCTGGCACTACCTTTGCAATCTGTGCACGTAGTCCCACATACGCACTCCTCATATTTGCTGCACCATCAAATGATTCACCAGCAATTCTTTGGAAATCTAATCCAAGCATATCAAAACAGGACATTAGAAGTTCGTGAAATCCTTTTCCTGTAGCGTCTTTAACAGGGAGAATCGCCACAAGCCGTTCTTTAATGGCTTCATCTTGCACATATCTCACAACTACTGTTGCTTGATCTACAATTCCAACATCTTGTGTGGAGTCAACCTGTATACTGAATCGTTTCTCTCCGATTTCAGACACAATTAAGTTTTTCATGCTTCGAACTATTGCTGCAAATACTTTATTGTATTATTGGACAAAAATGTCACAAGAGATCCAAGTCCAGTTGAATGTTTTCCTGATGTTTTTCTGTCTTTCAATCGCTGTTTTCTTTTTTCACTGTCCTGAACACATTTATCAAGGTGATTTTTAAGAGGAATATCATACTGTGATAGAAGTAGGACAATTTCCAGAAAGTTCCCGTGGTTTATTTCAATGTTATTTAAATTGTACAGCGATTCATTAGTGCCATGGGCACGAAATGGCAATCCCTGTTTTCCGAGGAGTTTTACAATATTAAATATACGGTTTAATACCTCAATATTTTGTAGTATCTCCTTCTTTCTTCTGGAGACTTGAGCCTGATTTAATAACGTGTCAATGCTTCTATTCGTTTTCATGGTAAAATAAGCACTAACAGCATCAGAATGACTTTTTGAAGATTCGTGCTTATTTGCTGCCTGATAGCAATGGCGAAAATTAGAACAACCACTAGTGAACGAGGAAGAGGAATTAGAAAAGGCAATGCATATGCTGCAAAAAAATGCTTCTAACTTTCGATCCTTTATCTTGCAACTCAGCCATGTACGCTTAATACGATCCCCATTAGACTTTTTGCGGTAATAAAAGTCTGCTTCTTGAAAAGGAAGATCTGCGCATTCAGTCCTGGTTGGCTGAAAAGGGTGTTTTTCAACAAAATTAATTTTTTCTGCTATGGAGCATGCAGGAGGAAGACTAAAAGATATTTCTGATGGATCATTTATAACGCTTCCTGACATGTCTTCAGATGTGATACATTCTAATTCAGGAAGGTCTTCAAAAACATCTGGGTCATTTATCTGCGCTTGTTCTCTGCGTTCTGACACCAGCTCCTCCTCAATCACCTGTTCTTCTGCTTGTGGGCTCACCTCATCTTCGACGGACACAACCGGCCTGCTTGAAGGAGCACTTGGGCCGGCAGAAACCTCATCAACAGGAATTCTTGGGTGTATACCACCAGCCTAAAACAACATTTTTTTTTTGTCAAACTATTTTAATCTCCCCAGAAAAGTTCTAGAGGTAACCAAGAAACTCCAGGAACTCCATGCATGGTAACAATAAAAAAAACCAAAAAAAAAACCTCATGCAAACAAAGGATATACAACTCATACTTACCTTACATGTAAGATTTTATGAGATTTCAAATAAGTAAAAATATATCTTAACAAAGTAAAACTGATCACTATGGAAAGTCAAGTATGCACACTCCTTGATAATCCATCATGAATCTTAACAAACGTAAAACTTCTTCATGCACGTGCAAACAGACTACCGTATATACTCGAGAAATTTTAGTTGTAAGCTTCATTTTAAAACGCAGATCCACGGGTCCATGCTAGTTTCGATAGAATTTAGTTCACATTGAATGCGGGGCAATATCGAGTTACAGGTAGTGCTAGAGTACTTAGCTGTACGTTGACCCAGATACCGGGTACACACACGGACAACAGCAGGCTGATTTAGAATACAGTGCAGCGATTGCTGATTACTGCCACCTATCTGTACGCTTTCCACGTCACTGTTGCAGCGGTGGCTGTAATGAGCCACAAGCAAGACCACTAGCTGGCGAGATAACCGAATGTGCCTTTGGAGCTGAGCGTGTGCACTGAGATGCAGAGGAGTAGTTACCATAACAGTTTGATTGTTCCAGGATCTTTGCCTAGGTAATATCTGACAAAATAATAAAAATCCCAGGATTTCATAGCCCCAAGTTTTACCCTCGACTTATCCACGAGTAATTTTACAATTGTTGGTCAAAAAACTGCTCTCGACTTATAGACGAGATCAACTTATAGAGAGTATATACGGTAGATATATTCATTCTTGTTATCAAAAGAGTGAATATACATTTCTGTGACATAAAATGTTAGAACTAGCCTTAACTTTTGAACTTTTAACATACCACCGAAAAAGATAGTTTCATTTGCTTAGGATCCCTTCCTGCTAACTCAAGTTCTTTGGACCGTTTTTCTCTCATTTTCTGAGCACCACCTTTCTCTTTAGATGTTGTTTTACTCTCCATATTTATCAATATGAAACCAACTGTAAAATTTATTTAACACCAAAACACGACAATGAGCTACATAAAAACAGCAAACATTTACTAATGTAGTGATTTAACTCCTAAATGGCAGATCTATACAGGGGCATAATCTATACACCAAAACTGTTCCATTAAGCAGGGGCATGATCTATACACCAAAACTGCTTCATTAAGCTAAAGTTGTTGTTTTGTTGACTAAAGTGTCCTTTTAAGTGATTATTTTACAATCACTTAGCGCACACCTCATCATGAAAGAAGATTGCAGATTTAGTGTCAGCCAGGAGAGACTGGCCAGTGGTCAATATATTTATGTTTAGTCAAAAACATAATGGTGGCACTTTGCAAATTGACATGTTCGGCAATGACACAAACAAAGGGCACGGGGAGAGACAGACATAGTGCCTGTAATTTACACGAATTCTATGCTCTGGGGACCAATATACAGCCTGCTTGCTGCCAGAGGTAAAAATGTACAAAGCAGCCTGGTGTTTTACACCCAATAGACAGCAGCACCTGTCGGTAAAAGCCAAATTACTCATCTTTATATGGACACAAAAACAAAAATATAATTTCACCTGGGAATTTGACAAATATAACTCAAAAAGACTATCTGCATCTGATCATTAAGTACATAATGAGCCTGACAACCCTGGTTTGAGAATCAGACCGTTTTAACTTGTCCGTTATAGCCATGTGTTTTAAAGAAGGGGTTTCATCTTGTATTAGTAGTGCCACAGCAGCGGCATGGAAGGCTTCAATTATATTTTTGTACTGGGAAAGACTGCCGGCAGTAAGTTAATATTGGTGAAGCACTGCAGCTCTCTGATGACACGGTTTAGGTGGCCGCGAGGCTCTTAACGAGAGGCCGTCTAAATCGCCTAATTAGAGAGACGCCTCTTGCCAAGAGATCTGGTCTCTGTGCAGCATATCAGTGTATCACTGAGCTCTACAGCAATAGAACTTACAGTAATGTGCAATTTGTAAGTATATCACACATCACTTAATCAATACAATGCACAGGACTGGGCAGTGTTTGAGTATATCTCAGCCAATCCACTCCTTTCCTATAGGAAAGCATTGAGAAGCTATTGTGCATGCATGGCAAAATGCTGTGCTGCACCAATCAGCAGCTCCTTACAGAGATGCATTGAATTAATGAATCGCTATGGGGAGTGTACAGCGTGGTGCTAATCATCAGCGCTGCACATTATGCAGCACTGACCTAGAAAGCACCTCTAGCGGCCATCTGAGGTGTGGCCACTAGAGGTGTTCCTAGGCTGTAATGTAAACAATGCTTTTCTCTGATAAGGCACTGTTTACATTAAAATGCCTATAGGGAATGACTATGACACCAGATCAAAACACATTAAAGGACCACTATAGTGCCAGGAAAACATACTCGTTTTCCTGGCACTCTAGTGCCCTGAGGGTGCCCCCACCCTCAGGGTCCCCCTCCCGCCGGGCTCTTGGGAGAGGAAGGGGTTTCTTCCTCTCCTCCTTCCTAGCGACGTCATCGGGTAAATGCGCATGCGCGGCAGGAGCCACGCGCGCATTCAGCCAGTTCATAGGAAAGCATTTACAATGCTTTCCTATGGACGCTGGCGTCTTCTCACTGTGATTTTCACAGTGAGAAACACGCAAGCACCTCTAGCGGCTGTCAATGAGACAGCCTCTAGAGGCTGGATTAACCGTCAGTGTAAACATAGCAGTTTCTCTGAAACTGCTATATTTATAAAAAAAAGGGGTTAACCCTAGCTGGACCAGGCACCCAGACCACTTCATTAAAGGGAAACTCCAGTGCCAGGAAAACAATCTGTTTTCCTAGCACTGGAGGGTCCCTCTCCCTCCCACCCCTCAATCCCCAGTTACTGAAGGGGTGAAAACTCCTTCAGTCACTTACCTGAGGCAGCGGTGATGTCTCCTCCTCTGCGCCGCTCCTCCTCTGTATTGCGTCGGCCGGTGGACGAGACTGATCCCGCCCACCGGCCGAGGAGACCTAATGCGCATGTGCGGCAATGCCGCGAATGCGCTTTAGCGCTCCCCATAGGAAAGCATTGAAAAATAATTTCAATGCTTTCCTATGGGGAAATGAGCGACGCTGGAGGTCCTTACACAGCGTGAGGACGTCCAGCGACGCTCTAGCACAGGTTTCCTGTGCTATGAAGGAGGAAGTGACCTCTAGTGGCTGTCTAGTAGGCAGCCACTAGAGGTGGAGTTAACCCTGCAAGGTAATTATTGCAGTTTATAAAAAAACTGCAATAATTACACTTGCAGGGTTAGGAGTAGTGGGAGTTGGCACCCAGACCACTCCAATGGGCAGAAGTGGTCTGGGTGCCTGGAGTGTCCCTTTAAGCTGAAGTTGTCTGGGTGCCTATAGTTGTTCTGGTGATTATAGTGTCCCTTTAATATTCCTGTGTACACTACTACATTAAAACAGTAGATTTTATTAGCAGGGATCAGTATTTCTAAATCTACATGGCTCACTTCTTAAGTAAAAAAAAAAAAAATTGTTAAGATTTAATCTGCTAATCAAATGTCACTTTAGTGAGAGAGAATCCTTACAATGATAGAGAAAAAAAAATTGAGCAAATTTCTAGATTTTTAGAACACAACTTTAATTTGCAGATTATTTTTTTTATAAATGTGCACATTACAAATATTGTACTGTCCCCCACCCCCCCTTTAAAAAAAAAAATCTTCCTCATTACAAGATTTTTCTATTTTGCAGATTATTATTTTTTTTAATATATAAATGTGCACATCATCGCATTTATTGTACTTCCCACCCACCCCCTACCCCTAAAAAAATATCTCCATCATTACAATCTTTTTTTATTTATTATTTTGCAGATTTTTATATTTTATAAATATTCACATTGCATTTATGGTACTGCCCTCACCCCCTCCCCCTAAAAAAGTAATATCTCCTTCAATACAATCTTTTTTTATTTTGCAGATTATTATGTTTTTATATAAAAGTGCACATCCTCGCATTTATTGTACTTCGCACCCACCCCCTACACCTAAAAAAAATCTCCCTCATTACAATCTTTTTTCATTATTTTGCAGATTTTTATTTTATATATGTACACATTGCATTTATTTTACTGCCCCCACCCCCTCCCCCTAAAAAATAATATCTCCCTCATTACAATTTTTTTTATTATTTTGCAACCTTTTTTTTTATATGAACACATTGCATTTAATGTCCCCCACCCCCTCCCCCTAAAAAATAATATCTCCCTCATTACAAATTCTTTCATTATTTTGCAGATTTTTATTTTAAATATGTACACATTGCATTTATTTTATGGTACTGCCCCCACCCCCTCCCCCTAAAAAATAATATCTCCCTCATTACAATATTTTTTTATTATTTTGCAACCTTTTTTTTTTTATATGAACACATTGCATTTAATGTGCCCCAACCCTTAAAAAAAAAATTCCTTCATTACAACTTTTTTTTGGAGACTTTTAATTTTCTTTTAATATATGAACATATTGATTTACTGCCCCTTCCCCGTAAAAAATAGTATCTCCCTCATTACATAAATTTTGCAGACTTTTCTTTTCTTTTTTAGATGAATGCATTGCATTTACTGCCCCCCAACCCCTCCCCCACCCCCTAAAAAAATATTTCTATCATTACAACTTTTTACTTTGCAGACTTTTATTTTCTTTTATACAGGAACATTGATTGATTTACAGTAAAGTCCCCTCATACAGTCAATATAAAAAAAAAAAAACACTTACACTTCTGAAGATAGTTCAAGACACTGGCAGCTGCTCTCTCAGGGCTCGGATGCTCGATGAAGAAAGGGTGTGAGGGTGCTCCGTTCGGGTGGAGGCTATGCGCATGCGCTGTTACCGGCCATGACGTCATGGTACGCGCTTGCGTATGCTCGTTCAGGCGCAGGG